GGGGGGGGGGCTGAAAACGAGGGCCAAAGGAAATTTTTAAATTTAGAGTCTCTGAAATGCCATTTCCTGGACTTTGGGGAAGATTTGACCTCGGATTTGACAGATTTCTGATGGTCAGAAAACAACGTTTTAGTATGTCGAAATTTACAATTCAGTAGTACTAAATTGGGTATAATAAGGTGTATTTAATTAACTATATATTGGATAAGTTGCAGGAAAGTATGGATAATATCTTCATTCTTTGCAGTTTGTCATGGATTAAATGATAAAGGTCTGCATGATTTTGAAAAATGAATGATTATTAGCAGATTATTGCGCGTTTCATTCCAGTGTATCAATATCGGTCAGTTGCGGCACGCGAGCAAGTATTTGCAACCATGGCAACGAGGAACACAAGCGGATCATAAATAAAGCCGTGTGCAGTGATTTTCGAAACAAATTTCTCGTTTCTACGGCTGTAAACTTGTACAAAAAACCGACAAAATGCCACGAAATCCATACCCGTTTCCACGCTTAGAAAACGACGACAATTTTGTAAAAGGCAACGAGAAAAAGGTGAGTCAGATGTAACAAATTTGGAATTAAATTTGTGTCAATTAGAACAATTTAAAGTTACCTTAATCTGCCTACTTTTAGAGCAGTTGAATTTTAAACAACTTGATTATAATCAGCAATTTTGATAAACGAATCTACTTTATGATTATAAATCAACTGGGTCCTGTTGTGAATTTAGTACAAATAAGTGCTATGATACATGTATTTATAAACAGCCGGCTGATCGAGGCATGTTAAACTGACATCTATTAAAAATGCTTGGTCCATTTCTCTAACTCCTGATAATTTTACACTGAAAAAGCATCAAGACTGTTTAACTCATTGAGGGCCAATGCTCTCCCGTTGACAGGTAAAATGGTCTGGCAATATACAAACAGAGTGATATAGTAACGCACGACATATCATGCATATATATATATATATATATATATATATATATATATATAATCTAGCTTTATTTACTCACAACCCACTAAGCTGCTTGTAATAAACAATATAGCTACAATATATTAATTAATTGTGTATTTGTTTTATTTATAAATTACCAGCCTTGCAAACACTCTCAGAAATTTGGTGAGAACACGGGCAGCGGAGACCAGTGGAACCGTTTGTTTAGAACCGAAACCTTGTCCAGTAAACGACGAGAAGTCTTACATTTTGATCCACAGGTATTCAATCGCTATACATTTTAAAAATCTGGCTTGACCTTAATTATCATGTTGGAGGCCACCAATACTGGGCACTGCCCCCCCCCCCCTCCCTGTCAGCATAACCAGCATCCAACTCTGACTGGCTCAGGCCATGCTGCATTATTGATACCTCCAGGTTTTGCCCAGAAGTGCCCAAAGCAGATAAGCCATTCATGTATGTGGCACCAATGATTTGTTGAAATGTGAAATGTTTATTTCAATACAGGCACCAAATGACAGTCTTGATTTTGTTATTAAATCAACGTATAATCACCATGGCGAATTCCTCAGCTCCCAAGCAGAAACTCTTGTCCAACCAGAAACCAAAAATTATCCTCATGGGTGAGTGCCCAAGTAGTTGTATAATTTGGTGCTAGATGGTGTTAATTATTGTGTTGTTTTTTTGTATATTATTGTATTGTAATTTATTGTAATAATTGTATTATTGTTATTCATTGTGAATATCAAAACATTGTTCATTTCTAGACGTGTATTAAAAAACCGCCCTCCACCAGCCGGGCCAAAGATAGACCTCAACAAACTTCCACTACGAATTTCGTCTTCAAACAAGAGAGAAAGTGTCCATTCTGTCACTGGAGCAATAGGTAGGATTCACATATCGTACATGCTCTCAGTCTGAAAGGTGGCTGGTGTACTACTTTGCAAATAAAGAATTGAATTAACAAGTTTCCCCGTTTGTACATTTGCAGAAAGTCATCACAGCGCTGCAACAAATCGTGGCTATTCAAGAAAACATGATGGCGGGTTCTATGCTTGTTGACAGGCTGCTTTATAATGCTGATTTCCTCTGAAAAATCAAACAATCATACATTATGTTATTCTACATTATAGGACCATACATATTATAACCTATTTGACCAGTTTTCAATCTATCATTACATCTTTATATCATTAATGGTATTTGATAATTTGCTAAATATTTTTTAGCTTTTTTCAATTGCCAATATTTTGAGACATTCAACAATCCTGCGTCTTCACCATTACTATTTTAAAATGGACATGACTTCTTGCAAGTTTTATGTTTAAAAGATGTAAATTTTGTATTTCACTTCCGACAATATAAAAATGACGATCTGAATTTAAATATGTGGTAGCTATATATTTTTACTTGTGAGTTTTGTGAAACCTCGGGTATTTATACTCCTAGCTTAGTTAAAAACCTCCTTTCGAACTTTGCTGCCACTAGTTGCGATACAGTGGTGTAGTGGGGGACGGCTGTATGAGCCTTCCTTCTTAAAATTTCATGCCCTCTTGTTAACATTCCAGGACTACACGGCTGAACTTATCTAAGTCGGTCTATGAGGATCAGCCAAAAATTTTCTAAGTGTGAAGCCTAGCTTTACTTGACTCAGAAATCCGGGCAAGCGTAGTGTAATTTATAGTAATCGGGACGGGCAAGGAATCATTTGCATACGGCTCAGTGCTATGATAGCCATGTGAAAATGTGCTTTAAAATTGCCCTGAGCCAAACCTATCTCCGTTAATATGCGTTTCGAACCTTTCTAAGTCGGTCTATGACAAAAAATTTTTTTCGCTCAGCCAAAAATTTATTTGACTCCGAAATCCGGGCAACGGGCAAGCGTAGTGTAATTTATATTAATGGCGGGCAAGCGTAGTGTAATTTATAGTAATCGGGACGGGCAACGAATCATTTGCATACGGCTCAGTGCTATGATAGCCATGTGAAAATGTGCTTTAAAATTGCCCCGAGCCAAACCTATCTCCGTTACTATGCGTTTTGAACCTTTCTAAGTCGGTCTATGACGAAAAAATTTTTTCGATCAGCCAAAAATTTTCTAAGTGTCAAGCCTAGCTTTACTTGACTCTGAAATCCGGGCAAGCGTAGTGTAATTTATAGTAATCGGGACGGGCAAGGAATCATTTGCATACGGTTCAGTGCTATGATAGCCATGTGAAAATGTGCTTTAAAATTGCCCTGAGCCAAACCTATCTCCGTTAATATGCGTTTCGAACCTTTCTAAGTCGGTCTATGACAAAAAATTTTTTTCGGTCAGCCAAAAATTTATTTGACTCCGAAATCCGGCCAACGGGCAAGCGTAGTGTAATTTATATTAATGGACGGGCAAGCGTAGTGTAATTTATAGTAATCGGGACGGGCAAGGAATCATTTGCATACGGCCGCTCAGTGCTATGATAGCCATGTGAAAATGTGCTTTAAAATTGCCCCGAGCCAAACCTATCTCCGTTACTATGCGTTTTGAACCTTTCTAAGTCGGTCTATGACGAAAAAATTTTTTCGATCAGCCAAAA